ACCCCCAGACCCCAAAGGGAACAGGATCTCGTTGTAGCCCTCACACGTCCTCAGCATGTTCAGGTACTGCCACAGGGGGGTCAAACCTGGGCTTAAACCGGGCTCAGCAAGGCTGGAGACCCCCAGGATTGACCCCAGGGCTGGAGACCCCCCAGGATTGACCCCAAGGCTGGAGACCCCCAGGATTTACCCCCAGACCCCAAAGGGAACAGGATCTCATTGTAGCCCTCACACATCCAGCCCCACAGAGCCCAGCCAGGCATTCCCAAGGGTTATCCCGGGATTTACCCCAAGCCTGGAGACCCCCCAGGATTGACCCCAGGGCTGGAGACCCCCAGGATTGACCCCAAGGCTGGAGATCCCCCAAAACACCCCCAGACCCCACAGGGAACAGGATCCCGTTATTCCCCTCACACATCCAGCCCCACAGAGCCCAGTCAGTCCTTCCCAAGGGTTTATCCCGGGATTTATCCCAAGGATGGAGCCCCCAGGGTAGCCCCAGACCCTCAGCAAGGCTGGAGACCCCCAGGATTGACCCCAAGGCTGGAGATCCCCAAAAACACCCCCAGACCCCAAAGGGAACAGGATCCCCTTGTGCCCCTCACGCATCCAGCCCCCCAGGCCTTCCCAAGGGTTTATCCCGGGATTTATCCCAAGGATGGAGCCCCCCAGGATTGACCCCAAGGCTGGAGACCCCCAGGATTTACCCTCCAGACCCCAAAGGGAACAGGATCCCCTTGTGCCCCTCACACATCCAGCCCCACAGAGCCCAGCCAGGCCTTCCCAAGGGTTATCCCGGGATTTATCCCAAGGCTGGAGCCCCCAAAGCACCCCCAGACCCTCAGCAAGGCTGGAGACCCCCAGGATTGACCCCAAGGCTGGAGACCCCCAGGATTGACCCCAAGGCTGGAGATCCCAAAAAACACCCCCAGACCCCACAGGGAACAGGATCCCCTTGTTCCCCTCACACATCCAGCCCCCCAGGCATTCCCAAGGGATTATCCCGGGATTTATCCCAAGGATGGAGCCCCCCAGGATTGACCCCAAGGCTGGAGACCCCCAGGATTTACCCCAAGGCTGGAGACCCCCAGGATTTACCCCCAGACCCCAAAGGGAACGGGATCCCCTTGTGCCCCTCACACATCCAGCCCCACAGAGCCCAGCCAGGCCTTCCCAAGGGTTATCCCGGGATTTATCCCAAGGATGGAGCCCCCCAGGGCACCCCCAGACCCTCAGCAAGGCTGGAGACCCCCAGGATTTACCCCAAGGCTGGAGATCCCCCAAAACACCCCCAGACCCCAAAGGGAACAGGATCCCCTTGTTCCCCTCACACATCCAGCCCCACAGGCCTTCCCAAGGGTTTATCCCGGGATTTATCCCAAGGCTGGAGCCCCCCAGGATTTACCCCAAGGCTGGAGACCCCCAGGATTTACCCCCAGACCCCAAAGGGAACAGGATCCCCTTGTGCCCCTCACACATCCAGCCCCCCAGGCCTTCCCAAGGGATCATCCCGGGATTTATCCCAAGGCTGGAGCCCCGGACGGGGGTGGGATCCCTCACCATGACCATCTTCCTCTGCTCACAGAGCTTCTGGAGCTGGTAGGATTTCTCCTCTGCTTTGATGTAACCTTTCTTGACGTCATCCACAGCCTGGGAAAGGGGGGGAAAAACCGGGATGGGGATTCCGGGAATTCTAAAAACGGGATAGGAATCCCAGGAGCGGATCCTGGAGCGGGACTCCATGACGTCATGACTCCATGACTCCATGACTCCATGACTCTACAATTCCATGACTCCCGGACTCCATGACTGTAGGATTCCATGACTCCATGATTCCATGATTCCATGACTCTGTGACTCTCCAATTCCACAACTCCCCGACTCCCTCCCCCGTGATTCCCTCTGGGAATGCCATCCCGCGATTCCCTCTGGGAATTCCATCCCTTTGGGAATGCCCACCTGGTGGAAGAAGTGAGCGACCCCCCGACCCCACGATTCTATGATTCCATGACTCCCTGACTTTATGATCCCTGACTCCATTTCATGACTCCCTGACTCCATGATTCCATGACCCCATGATTCCATGACTCTATGACTCCATGATTCCATGATTCCATCATTCTATGACTCTATTATTCCATCATTCCATGACTCCATGACTCCATGATTCCATGACTATGATTCCATGATTCCATGACTCTTTGATTCCATGATTCCATCATTCCATGACTCCACGATTCCATCATTCCATGACTCCATGATCCTATGACTCTATGATTCCATGATTCCATGATCCCATGATCCTACAACTCTACGATTCCATGATTCCATCATTCTATGACTCTACGGTTCCATGACTCCCTGACTCCATAACTAACTCCACAACTCCCCAACTCCCCGACCCCCCGATTCCCTCTGGGAATTCCATCCCATGATTCCCTCTGGGAACGCCCACCTGGTGGAAGAAGTGAGCGACCCCCCGACCCCCCGATTCCATGACTCCCTGACTCCATAACTCCATGATTCCAGGACTCTACGATTCCATGATTCCATCATTCTATGACTCTACGATTCCGTCATTCCATGACTCGAGGATTCCGTAATTCTATGATTCCATGTCTCCAGACTCCATGATTCCATGACTCCATGATTCCGTCATTCCATGATTCCATCATTCCATGACTCTTTGATTCCATGATTCCATCATTCCATGACTCCACGATTCCATCATTCCATGATTCTATGATCCTACGACTCTACGATTCCATGATTCCATGACTCCACGACTCCATCATTCCATGATTCCATGATCCTACGACTCTACGATTCCATGATTCCATGATCCTACGATTCTATGATTCCATGATCCCATGATCCTACGACTCTACGATTCCATGATTCCATGACTCTCTGACTCTACGATTCCATGACTCCCTGACTCCATAACTAACTCCACAACTCCCCAACTCCCCGACCCCGTGATTCCCTCTGGGAATTCCATCCCGGAATCCCACCTGGTGGAAGAAGTGAGCGACCCCCCGACCCCGTGATTCCCTGTGGGAATTCCATCCCGGAATCCCACCTGGTGGAAGAAGTATGCGACGGCGAGGTCGTTGTCGTTGAGCAGCTCCTCCTCGGCGGGCGTGAAGAGCCACTTGCGCAGGGTCAGGCAGGTCCCCGGCACCGCCGACGTGTAGTTCTGCACGTACAGCTTGTGCGGGAACTCGTTGGGAGCCAACTTCCGCACTGCGGGAAACAGGGAGGAGCCTCGGGAATGATGGGAGAACCCGGAGAGCCACCGGGAGAACCGGGAGAACTGGGAGAACTGGGAGAACTGGGAAGGGGAGACCGCAGGGATGGGGTGGGAGATGGCGGGAGGGGGGGAAGGAGAATTCCCAGAGTGGTGAGGGGTGGGAGGAGTTGAGAATTCCCGGAATTTTGAGGGGTTTAAGGGGTTGAGAATTCCCGGAATTTTGAGGGGTTTAAGGGGTTGAGACTTCCCAGAACTTTGAAGGGTTTAAAAGTTAAAAATTCCCAGAATGGTGAGGGTTTAAAAGTTAAAAATTCCCAGAGTGGTGAGGGATGGAAGGAGTTGAGAATTCTCGGAATTTTAGGGGTTTAAAAGTTAAAGATTCCCAGAGTGGTGAGGGGTGGAAGGAGTTGAAGATTCCCAAAATTTTGAGGGATTGGAGGAGTTAAAAATTCCCAGAATGGTGAGGGAAAAGATTCCCAGAACTTTGAGGGATTGAAGGGGTTGAGAATTCCCGGAATGTTGAGGGGTTTTAAAAGTTAAAAATTCCCAGAATGTTGAGGGTTTAAAAGTTAAAAATTCCCAGAATTTGGAGGGATTGGAGGAGTTAAAAATTCCCAGAATGGTGAGGGATGGAAGGAGTTAAAAATTCCCGGAAATTTGAGGGATTTAAAAGTTAAAAATTCTCAGAATGTTGAGGGATGGAAGGAGTTGAAGATTCCCAAAATTTTGAGGGATTGGAGGAGTTAAAAATTCCCAGAATGGTGAGGGAAAAGATTCCCAGAACTTTGAGGGGTTGAAGGAGTTGAGAATTCCCGGAATTTTGAGGGGTTTAAGGGGTTGAGAATTCCCAGAATGTTGAGGGGTTTAAAAGTTAAAGATTCCCAGAATTTGGAGGGATGGAAGGAGTTGAGAATTCCCAGAATTTGGAGGGATTTAAGGGGTTGAGAATTCCCAGACGTGTAGTTCTGCACGTACAGCTTGGGGGGGAACTCGTTGGGAGCCAACTTCCGCACTGGGGGGAACAGGGAGGAGCCTCGGGAACGACGGGAGAAACACGGAGAACCCGGAGAGCCACCGGGAGAACCGGGAGAACTGGGAAGGGGAGACCGCGGGGATGGGGTGGGAGATGGCGGGGGCGGGGGGAGGAGAATTCCCAGAGTGGTGAGGGGTGGGAGGAGTTGAGAATTCCCGGAATTTTGAGGGGTTTAAGGGGTTGAGAATTCCCAGAATTTGGAGGGGTCGGAGGAGTTGAAAATTCCCAGAATGGTGAGGGTTTAAAAGTTGAAAATTCTCAGAATGTTGAGGGGTGGGAGGAGTTGAGAATTCCCGGAATCTTGAGGGGTTTAAGGGGTTGAGAATTCCCAGAATGTTGAGGGGTTTAAAAGTTAAAGATTCCCAGAATTTGGAGGGATGGAAGGAGTTGAAAATTCCCAGAATTTGGAGGGGTGGAAGGAGTTGAGAATTCCCAGAATTTGGAGGGATTGGAGGAGTTAAAAATTCCCAGAATGGTGAGGGATGGAAGGAGTTGAAAATTCCCAGAATTTTGAGGGGTTTAAAAGTTAAAAATTCCCAGAATTTGGAGGGATTGGAGGAGTTAAAAATTCCCAGAATG